GCATGTCATCAAACAGCTCGACCACTGCCTCCGCATTCTGAGCCATATCAATATACATTTGCAGCCAGTAAATGGCAATTATCATTTATTGAATGTTCACACAAATATCTTTTAACTAGCAGTTGGTATTTATACCCTTGAAAAAGTACATGATACTTAATTTATCCGTACTAAACAGTGGTGGACCGTACCATTCCGTACCGTTTCGTGATGCCACGCAATAAACCGTAAAAGACCGTGCTAATCCCTGCCTCTCCGTAGTACAGCGTATTACGATCGTGGCTTTCCGTGATAATGCCGTATTAATCCGTATTAAAACCGTAGGTTATACGTAGGGTAACCGTACAAATACGTAGTTCTCCGTACCAAACCGTGGACAAGTTGGGGCCTACGAATCAGTACGGACTAGAACGGTTTTCGTACGGACCAGTACGTATCAGTACGGTTTAATACGGACTAATAGGGATACGCTACGGTTGATTTTTCCGTAGCAAATTTTTGTGCATGTTCAAAAATTGTCAAGGATCGCTACGGATATACAAGGACTACTACGATTGATCACGGTTACAATACGGAGAGCTACTGACCAGTACGGGTAACTACGGACAATGCCGGAATTAATCCGTGGCTCTTCCGTGAGCGGTTTCCGTGAATATGTGACCGGGGTATAAGTGTTATACAAAATGAATTAAAAAGTTGAATAAATGGTTTTATATACTAGTTAAGATAAACAATGTTGTTTGCTTCATATTGTTTGAAGAAAGCAAAAAGCCTGAAGGTCAGAAAGGTTTCAGTTTTCCTGCAGTTTTGTTACAATAATACTTTTTCTCTGTGTTTTTTGTTTTTGTTTTTTTTCCTTTTGGTATTTTACTGCTGAAATTAAATTAGTTGAAAAAATGAAATGGATTTAAGCAGAGAGATGTTTTCGCTTAAATGCACAAAATGAGTATTTAAGACCCTAGTGGATAAAATGCCATCCAGAATTTGATCCAAAGTGCTTAAGGCAATTTTGAGTTTCATCAGAAATTGTCTTGAACAAAAATTGAATTTCTCAGAAATAGAAATATAATTTTTTTTTGTAAAAAAATACAAGAAGTGTAAAAATTTGATCACCCTAAAGTAATTAGGCACTAAGTCACACACCAAGTCAATTCATGAAAATTTTAAAAAAAACTTCTAAATTGAAGGGATCATATTATATACATGTATGTAAACATATGAATAGTCTAATTGTCAAAAAGAATGTTAGAAAACAACAAATTTCTCCTTTCAATAAGTTTGTTGTTGTTTTCCTTAGTGGTGGTGAGGAGGGGGGTGCTGGGTGGTAAGAGGGAGTGGGGGCTTTACATGAGTCATAATGAACTATAGGGTGAGTCTAATAGTAAAGTAACCAAGAAATGGACAACATTGATTTTTTGAGGGGTTTGGTGGGTGGAGGGTTTGGAGTTGATTTCAGATTTCTTTAAGCACATTTCAAGTTTAAAATTGACATTGCCTCTCGTATTTTAATTACAACACTTTCAACAAATCTTACGCTATAATTATATGTGTTTAAACCTTTAACCTGAAGGTAGTTTATTCCAAGAAGTATGCTTAAAACAGAATTTAAATAAATCTGATTTTTTTAAAGCAGAAAAAACTAAATCTGAAATAAACTCAGCTCCTTGTCTGGAATTAAACTGGAATGAATTTGTATGAACATATTCCAGAACTAAATGCCAAGTATTTCAATAAATCAAGCAAACTAGAAACACTTTTCTCCTACCTCCTCTCTTTGTTGTAGAAACATAGCAAAATAAGTATGGAAGCCTTTACATGTCATTCTTTTATTTGAGAAGTGTTCATAAAAAATGAACATGTTTTGCTCAACCTTTACCTTGCTTTGTTTTCTTGAACTGCTTTTAAGTTTTGATTTTCCATTGATGGATGATTTCAATATCAAAATTCTTTTAAATGAGCAGTCAAAGAGTTTGGACAAAAGCTAGCTTAGCTCTGTATAAGTGCCATAGAATTAAGCTTGTTTATACTAGGCAATTAGTAAGGGGAGCAGTGGCATAGTGGTTATAGTGTCTGCCTTTCAAGCCAGTGATCATGGGTTCGAGCCCTAATGGGGTCATGACCATGTTTCTTCCTTATAATGACACCAGTATCGGTTGGTTCCAGGAAGCAAACTTGATAGTGATTAATATAAATTGCAAGAACTTGTTCTGCAATTGAGCATATAAATAAATATGTTTAAACTTATAAGTAAGTTAAAGGCTATACTATACATGTAATTTAACATTATACATGTTGATTTTCTGTCCAGAAACTTTATTGTTGGCCATTATTTTATTTTTTCCTACTGGATTGTCTTCACACACCAACCCTTTGGACAAGACCTTCCAGGAAACCAGACTGAACTTGACCTTGAAGTTGACTCATAAATAATATCAAATTAATGAAATTTGGTAAAAATGTCATAACTTGGTTTTTTACATACAGATTTGATTCATACGTGGACAAAAGAACACATACAACAAAATTAACATGTTGAATTTATCGTATATGACTTGTCAGACTTTAATTGACCTTGATCATCAAGGTCAAATTATTGGAATTTGCTTTAATTGACATATATATAAGCTTTGTTATTTATTTACAGAATTGATAAAGGCTTGGCAAATTAAAGAGCATTTATGACAAAACTTGACATGATGATTAATTCAAAAATAACCTTGACCTTTAAATGACCTCCATCATCAAGGTCAAATATGAAATTTAAATTTTATTAAGGAAAAAAAAAATTGAAGGTGTAGTGTTTCTTATAATATTCTATCTCTGATGTGATTTACCTTAGAAATAAGAAAAAGTTTAGCATGGTCCCGGATTGCTAGGCGTTTTTTTTTTAATTATTATTTTAATTATTAAAAATCTTTGTTTCATTCCAAACTGAAATTAGACGTAATTGATATCAGTTTCATCATTCTTTATATTTTATAACTGTTGCTGTCTGAGATCAGATGTCTGGTAAAATGATTCTTTAATTGTTGAAAACAAATAAACATGGTCCCAACAGAATTCCGTATAACAAGAGATCCACTTGGCCTACATGCAAGAATAACTTGATATTTGCTGAGAAATATTTTCAGACTGTTCTTTTGAGTTGCTAAGCAATTTATAATTGCATGTTTAGATGAAATACACATGTTTCAATTGGTTTAAGATAAAGATCTTAGGGCCCCACCAAAATATAAGATGAAAAATGAAAAGTAAAAAAATTGTTGCTACAGCATTGACAAAATAAAAAAAAACTAAAGAAAGTGATATGGTTAGTATGTTGAAGAAACAAAAGTTAAAATATATAGAGGATATTCAAGTTTTTTCTGTAAATACATGATTTATTTTCATCGAGTGGTATGAAAATAAATATTTCATGAGTGGCGGTAGCCACGAGTGAAATATGGTAATTTTCATGCCACAAGATGAAAATAAATCATGTATTTATAGAAAAAACTTGAATTTTCTGTTTATTATATACATTTTTCCCTTTCTGGACATTAAAATTTGCAAGACTTTCCCTTAAATTTTGAGTACTGGCAGAATTTAAAAGAAAGTAGTCCAGCAAGACACCAGTGAAAATACGGAAAAAATATGTTTCACTGCAGTGAAAAATAAATTTTTACAGTGAAAATACGGAAATGAAAATACGCATTTTATTTCATCAATATTTCTCAATATTTCATTTAAAAGTATATAATAAATATTTTTATTAAGTGAAATTAAAATCATTTGTATATTTTACAAAGATAAATTGAAGTTAATCAATTCATAATGAAAATTAACTTATTTGTATTTTATTCATGATTAAAGGTAATAACTATTTACTTGATTTCTTTCTTAATTTGATTAATTCTTTAACTATTTTTATAAATTCTGAGAATAATTTAAAGTGTGCCTTTTTAATTGATTTTTAATTATTTTCTGGATCAACAGTTTTCATAGATTGAACAAATGAATTGCATGTGTCAATGATGATAATATACAAATATAAAAATTATTATTTGCATGGAAATGATTAGACACAATCAATATGAAATAAAGTATTGCCTATTTTTGTACATTTCATAAATTAAAATAAAAGGAAAATGGAGAAGTACAACATGTCAACACCAGAGCTGGTTTAGGTTATTTTCTTCTGGTTTCAGTTCTATTGAACCTTTCATCATCAGTTCATTAATAAAATAGTGCAGAATTATACAAAGTTTATGATTTACAGGACATTCATCCAATCGGAAGATGCTTCTTGAACCGGAAGGCACTGATTATATTAGTTCATGTTTTTTTTCTGCGTTATATGCAGTTTCTGTGAAAAGATTGAGACATAAAACTAGTGATAAAATTTCTATTTCCTCATTTCTCTGACATACTTCAGTGTCTGATACATAAATGTCTGGTGAAAAGTAAATATTTGCAGGGGAGAAAATCTATGTTACCAGAACACTGTATTGTGAAAATAAAAAACAATAAGATTATGTAATACATCCTTATGATGTAACGTAGCATTTGTGTTTGTTTCTGGTCCTCCTTTATTTTAAGTTAAAATTGTATTGAATTTCCAATAAAATAAATCTAACACATGGATTCATATACCTTAAACATGGGTCCTTACTTTGTTTTATGAACACTTTTAATGGAAACATTTCTGGTCCTCCTTTATTTTTATTTTAAAGTTGAATTTGAATGGAATTTTCAATTGAACACATTTAAATACCATATTTTGTGTTTATACCTTTAACATAGCTCTGTTGAATGTTGTATGAACACTTTTAGTGGAAATATTTTTTTTCAAGGTGGTCTAAAGTCTTTTTCTGTAAAATTTGTGCAATGGACCTTGACCTTTGAATTTGGAACTTAATGTACTGTAAATCTTAGTAGACACAACTCTTAACTGGTGATAAAGCCAAATCTTGATATATTGGGCACACTATTCTGAGATTTTAACCCATTTTCTATTTCAGCATTTACAGAGTCCAGGAGGTTTTCAGAATGCAGCCAGAGAGTTACTGGACTGGTGCTCAGACTCTAGAGCCTTTCAAGAACCATTTGAGAACACCCTCATCAGCTGTCTGACAGTAAGTCTTAGTGTATTTGAGCCGCGTCATGACAAAACCAACATAGTGCGTTTGCAACCAGCATGGATCCAGACCAGCCTGCGCATCCGCGCAGTCTGATCAGGATCCATGCTGTTCGCTATCAGTTTCTCTACTTGTAAAAGGGTTGGTAAGCGAACAGCATGGATCCTGATCAGACTGCGTGGATAGGCAGGCTGGTCTGGATCCATGCTGGTTGCAAACGCACTATGTTGGTTTTGTCATGACGCGGCTCATTTAATGACAACATCGTTGTTAAATTCAGCCATGTTATAAAACACCATGATATGTAAAATCAGTCTTACTTTACCAAAAAAAGATACAATTGGCAGGATATAGCAGGATGTCTAAGACTTGTTAGAGTTCTGGTGCTGAGAGAACACAGAAGGTGATGATGACAGTGGTTTTCTTAATGATCTTGAAGCTTTTCAAGGTCATATTTGTGGTCAGAAACAGAAGAGGAATTTAAAGACTGTAAATTGTTTGTCTCTTACTTTTCCTTTCTTAAATGTTAAGCTAAGCATTTAACCTTTTAAGAATGGAAAAGGCACAGTAAATCAAATATCTCAACACAGCCTGTCTGACTTCAGTTAATTTCTGATATAAAACTCAACTATGACCACAGACAGCTATACTGTGATTTTAATGAAAAGTTTTATTATTTATTTCTTATTGGCATTTCATATACCATAAAGAAGTGTCAGCATCTCAAGTTAATTGTTATCTAACTATATACATTAATGGGAAATGTATGCTTATTAGTTAAAGTGACTGCTTCTAAAGTGATGAGCTGAATACCTATCCGCTAACTACTATTGTCAAATGGAGAAAAACAAAACAGCCACTCCCCCCCCCCAGCACCTGCTTAATCAGAATTCAATATATAAATGATTAAAGAGATATGATTTACCTTACAACACATTGGTACTGGTCAGTCTAAAGAACAGACTCAAAAGTGATATGTGTAAGCATGGTCCTACTTATTATTTTTTATTGTTGCGTAATTCATATATACATACATTGACCATGATATATAAAAAAGGCAATATTAACTTTAAGGAAAAAAAACACAAAAGAACCATAGTTTATGCCTAGAAGTGTTTCTAGTACTCATTTAGTTTTATGAAGTTTCACAAGAATGGTTTTCTTACCTTAACCACTAATCTTATTATACTATCAAAATGAGATATTTAGATTCATTTTAAAACCCTGATTTAATTTTTTGAAATTTTCTTTATGTTATGAGACACTTGCTTTAAATTCTCTTTTCGCAAATATTTGCACTAAGGGACACTAATTTCACGCAATATCAAATACAACCAAGGGAAGCAACTTCCACAAAAGTTGCTGTTCTGATTTAACAGAGAGTCATTATAGGGTGAATTTGTGACAATATTATTTCTGTCTTTTGAATTGTATCTGATAAATAAATCTAGGCCTGTGTTTTATACAAACAAGATATCTGGTCCATATAATGTATTTACACAGTTTCGTCAAAAAGGGCGGGACCAATGTTTTGCTGATACTGAAATTTCAATGTAAAAACTAGAACACAGATCTTGCCGGTGTTTCTAATAAGATGTAATTGATATGTGGCTGGGCTGACAAAAGACACATTGTCACATCGATCAATTATTCAGGGCAGATGTATGGGCAACAGTTAACAAAAATTTTACTGCTCTGATAGTTTATTACAAAATGTAATTCTCCTTAAAGATATTCTAATTGTATATTTTGATATATTAAATGAAATCTAAATGGTATTAAGAATGTGACCTTTTTAATTATTTGATAACATTTTGAGCTCAAACTTGTTAAAAGTTTTTAGGTTATTTTAAATTTTAATTCAGTTTTTCTATATAATGCAGCAATTTAGAGTCAAAATCAATATCCATTTCAAAATTTTCAATTTTTGATTTTATGTGATATTGTGGTGTTCATTAATATTTTATTTCTTAAATCACAATCAGAATTGTATAAACTGCTATTTATGTTAATTTAGTTGCTTCATATAAGTTACTTCCATAATGCTATACTAATCCTAGCAGTCCTTTAAGATGATGAGTATGTTCTGCACAAGATATTTTTTAGTTGATCTTCACAAATCTTCAGTAATTAACCAATTACTTGTGTCAAAGATGGACATTCTTTAAACATTTTCAGTGATTATTTATTGAATGAATTATGTTTATGATGAATGATCATCATACATTCTCAGTGACTATTTCTATCCAGTCAAAGGCTCAGTAACTGTTAATGAAATATGGCTGATCTTCACATAGCCTCAGTGATTATCCAATCAGAAGGCTTGTGTCATTGCTGAACTTCACTTATCAATTCAAAGATTTCTTGTCAAAGGTTGCTGATCATTATACATCCTCAATGCTTACCCAGTCATAGGCATTATGTCAAAGACAGTTGATCTTCACACATCCTCAATGATTATCCAGTCAAAGAAATTATTTCAGAGACAGTTGACCTTCACACATCCTCTTCTCAATGCTTAGCCAATCAAAGACATTATATCAAAGATTGTTGTCAAAGATATTTATTTTTTGCACATCCTCAATGCTTACCCAGTCAAAGGCATTATGTCAGAGACAGTTGATCTTCACACATCCTCAATGCTTACCCAGTCAAAGGCATTATGTCAGAGACAGTTGATCTTCACACATCCTCAATGCTTACCCAGTCAAAGGCATTATGTCAAAGATAGTTGATCTTCACACATCCTCAATGCTTACCCAGTAAAAGACATTATGTCAGACACAGTTGATCTTCACACATCCACAATGCTTACCCAGTCAAAGGCATTATGTCAAAGATATTTTATCTTTGCTCATCCTCAATGTTTAGCCAGTCAAAGACATTATTTCAGAGACAGTTGACCTTCACACATCCTCTTCTCAATGCTTAGCCAATCAAAGACATTATATCAAAGATTGTTGTCGAAGATATTTATTTTTTTGCACATCCTCAATGCTTACCCAGTCAAAGGCATTATGTCAGAGACAGTTGGTCTTCACACATCCTCAATCTTACCCAGTCAAAGGCATTATGTCAAAGACAGTTGATCTTCACACATCCTCAATGCTTAGCCAGTCAAAGACATTATGTCAAAGATATTTTATCTTTGCTCATCCTCAATGTTTAGCCAGTCAAAGACCTTATAAAGATGATTGATCTCCATGTATCTTAGTGTTTATTCAGTCAAAGACAATGTTTCAAACACAGTTGATCTTCACACATTTCAGTCAAAGGTTTTGTGTTAAAAGCATTTTTTAGATATATATTTTAGTTAGGTATATTATGGAACAAAATAATGTGAAGTGGCTAAGGACATTGTTATATAAGAGTATTGAACAAGTTGTTGAAACTAATTTTAATCATATTTGAGTCAGCTTTCTGGAACTAAATGGTTTTATGTGTATAACATCACCTCAGTGCAGCAACGAGTTAACTCCTTCATAATTCAATAGAAGCTAGAACGTTACTGCACTAAGCTGATGTTACATGGTCATGAACCAAATAGGATTCAAACCCATGGTCCCTTGTCTGAGAGCTTGACACTGTTAGAAAACCGTGTCACTTCTCCTTTTGTCAGTGTTGGTTCTCATCCTCTACATTCACTCAACTTCAACTCAGTTTGTTAACTGATATTTACTATTAATATGGAGAAGTTTGCATTCACTTGTGGCAAATATTTTAATTCATAGAACTCACCAGTATTTATAGGAATGGTAAACTTTTACCTAGAATTCTTTTGAAAAAACAAAATAAAACAAAAGAAAATGAAGTATATAACATTACCTTTTTCCTATCAATATCAAAGATCATCATTATTACAGATTTGTAATCTGGTACTATAAAATTGTAACATTTAACAATAGCCATAAAATAATTTTTATTGAGCACAATAATTTGTGGACATCTTCCTGATGGGACTGACAATAATACTAATAACCTGATTTCTGATTATTTTGCTACAATTATTGTAATATAATCTTTATGTAATTTACGCAGGCTAACCATTTTCCTTAGAACTCCAATATTTTATGTTTACTGGAAGTTCTCAGTGAGTTGATTGACTGGTCAAACATGGCCAGTAAAGGTTGTTTGAAGTCAATGATCATTACTTCTTGCAGATAGAGAAAAGTAAACAGATATTGATATGTAATAACACACTAAATAATACAACAGCATGGCTACAAAATAAGGGGGGAAATAGATGTTACTCTTAGGGAAATCATATATAAAATAGGATAATGCAATTATTGGAGGTTTCCTGGGAAATCTGATTTATATGACTAATATTGTATTACATTAGTTATTTTGTCAACAAAGAAAAGATTTGTGGTAGTTTCTGCTCCTTTTGGGTAGTTTGTTTTCCTTTTAACATCCTATAAGAGTTCATTATTTAGAGCAATAATTGTTATTTGTGAGGAACAATGAGATGAAACATCTTGTATAAAACATCTGACTATTCAATATTTACCATATGTTGCTTGATGTTCCGTCAATGATATTTGCTATAAATAAATTTTAAAGTGCATAAATGAAAATAACTTACTGGTGTTGTTATAACTTAAATTATAAATGAATAAAATCTTTACAGACCAATTATTCCCAGTCATAGAACAAATATATTATGCAATCACTTAAAAAAGGGGAGCATATTTTTGGGGGATGATGATATGATATATATCCTGTTTCGTTTGTCTAATCATGCAAAAGCCTGAGAAGTAGTAAGTCTATGTTCATAAACCTTGGTAGGTCTATTGATTTTGAGGTTACTAGGTCAAAGGTCAACAAGGTCACAATGATATTTTAGGGAATATCACTGATAAATCAAGCCTCAGTTAGGACATTGCTCATGGCCAGTAAAAGATCCCTATTGATTTTCAGGTCACTAGGTCAAAGTTCAAGGTTACAATGACACTTTTTGAAAATCATTGATAGGCCAATAATTTTAGAAGTAAAAA